GACCATGTAGCTGTGGACAAGTCCACATAGCAACCACTAAACACAGCAGCATTGATTTTGTCATTTGGGAGTTGTAGTTGCTGGGATTTATAGTTCACCTACAATCAAAGAGCTTTCCGAACTCCACCAAGCATCTAATTGGGCCATACTTGGCACACAGAAGCCCCATGACCAACAGAAAATACTGGAAGGGTTTGGTGGGAATTGGCCTTGAGTTTGGAAGTTGTAGTTCACCTGCATCCAGAGAGCACTGTGGACTCAAACAATGATGGATCTGGACCAAACTTGGCACAAATCCTCAATATTCCCAAATGTGAACACTGGCGGGGTTTGGAGAAAATAGACCTTGACATTTGGGAGTTGTAGTTGCTGGGATTTATAGTTCGCCTACAATCAAAGAACATTCTGAACTCTACCAATGATGGAATTGAACCAAATTTGGCACACAAAACTCCCGCGATAGGGAAGGGTTTGGTGGCCGTTGACTTTGAGTTTGGAAGTTGTAGTTCACCTACATCCAGAGCGCACTGTGGACTCAAACAATGATGGATCTGGACCAAACTTGGCATGAATCCTCAATATGCTCAAATGTGAACACTGGTGCGGTTTGGGGAAAATACACCTTGACATTTGGGAGTTGTAGTTGCTGGGATTTATAGTTCACCTACAATCAAAGAGCACTCTGAATTCCACCAACTATGGAACTTTGGCACACTACCTAGTCAACATTGAATACTGGTGGGGTTGGGGGGGGGGGCTGTTCTTGAATTCTGAGACTTGTAGTTCACCAATACACACAAAAAAAAAAGAGGACAAGCAGAGAGATCTTCAGCCTTCTCTGCCAAAACTGTACCTAATACCATCAGAAATAAGTGTTTTCTAATGGGTTGTTGTAGGTTTTTTCGGGCTATATGGCCATGTTCTAGAGGCATTCTCTCCTGACGTTTCGCCTGCATCTATGGCAAGCATCCTCAGAGGTAGTGAGGTCTGTTGGAACTAGGAAAAAGGGTTTATATATCCGTGGAATGACCAGGGTGGGACAAAGAACTCTTGTCTGCTGGAACTAGGTGTGAATGTTTCAACTGACCACCTTGATTAGCATTTATGGCCTGGCAGTGCCTGGAGCAATCCTTTGTTGAGAGGTGATTAGAAGTCCCTGATTGTTTCCTGTCTGTTGTTTTGCTGTTGTAATTTTAGAGTTTTTTTAAATACTGGTAGCCAGATTGTGTTCATTTTCATGGTTTCTTCCTTTCTGTTGAAATTGTCCACATGTTTGTGGATTTCAATGGCTTCCCTGTGACATGGTGGTTGTGAGAGTGCTCCAGCATTTTTGTGTTCTCAAATAATCTGCTGTGTCCAGGTTGGTTCCTCAGGTGCTCCCCTATGGCTGACTTCTCTGGTTGAAGGAGTCTGCTGTGCCTTTCCTGTTCCTTGATTCGTGTTTGGGCAATGCTGCGTTTGTGGTCCCTATGTAGACTTGTCCACAGCTGCATGGTATACAATGGTAGACTCCTGCAGAGGTGAGAGGATCCCTCATGTCCTTTGCTGAACGGAGCATTTGTTGGATTTTCTTGGTGGGTCTGTAGATAGTTTGTATGTTGTGTTTCCTCATCAGCTCCCCTCTGCGTTCAGTGGTTCCCTTGATGTATGGCAGGAACACTTTCCCTCTGGGTGGATCTTCATCTTGACTCTCGTGGCTTCTTCTCGGTGGTCTTGCAGCTCTTCTGATGTCTGAGGTGGAGTCTCCATTGGCCTGGAGAGCCCAGTTGAGGTGGTTCAGTTCATCTTGGAGGAGGTGGGCTGCGCAGATCCTTTTTGCACAGTCTGCCAAGGCTTTAATGGTGCTTCTTTTTTGACTTGGGTGATGGTTGGAGTTTTGATGTAGATCTCTATCTGTGTGTGTGGGTTTTCTGTAGACAGTGTGACCCAATTATTGATCTGGTTTGCAGATGACGAGGACATCTAGAAAAGGCAGTCTTCCTCCATTTTCTTTTTCCGTGGTGAACTGGATATTTATTTATTTACAGCTTTTCTATTCCGCCCTTCTCCTCACCCCGCAGGGGACTCAGGTGTACTGTGTACACATATATGGCAAACATTCAATGCCAATTTTAACATACAACGTATACAGACATACACAGAGGCTATTTAACTTTTTCTGGCCGCCGGGGAGCTGTCGCTTTCATCGTCCATCTGCGACGCTGATGAAGCACTTCCGCATTCCCCGCATGCTTCCCTGCTGGAATGCTTTGCTGGAGTCTTCTTTATGGCCTCATAAATTAGCTAATTTAGCCTCCCCACACTTTAAGGTGGTACCTAATTTTCCTACTTGACAGATGCAACTGTCTTTCGGGTTGCAAAGGTTGACAACAGGCTACACAATTGGTTGGAAACCCACTCCAACCCGGGCTGGCTTCGAACTCATGACCTTTTTGGTCAGAGTGATCTTAATGCAGCTGACACTCTGCCAGCTGCACCACAATCCCAGTGTTTGGGTGGATGCTGTTAAGATCGTCCAGGAACCTGTTGAGTTCTTCTTCTCCATGTCTCCAAATGGTAAAAGTGTCATCCACTAATCTGAACCATAGAGTGGGCTGTTTTCTAATGGTCTTTGGTGACCCCCCCCCCATGTGTCCTGACCCCCAGGTTGAGAAACACTGACGTAGAGATTCCTGAAGAGGAGGTCCATGTTTTTGTCACAGTTGTGGATGCCTTATGCCCCTAATGTTTGCAAATACGCACAGCCTGACTATTATATATCCTTTGGAGGGCAACTAAAATGATCAAGGGTCTGGAGAACAAGCCCTATGAGGAGCGGCTTAGGGAACTGGGCATGTTTAGCCTGAAGAAGAGAAGGCTGAGAGGAGATATGATAGCCATGTATAAATATGCGAGAGGAAGCCACAGGGAGGAGGAGGGAGCAAGCTTGTTTTCTGCTTCCTTGGAGACTAGGACACAATGGAACAATGGCTTCAAACTACAAGAGAGGAGATTCCATCTGAACATTAGGAAGAACTTCCTGACTGTGAGAGCCGTTCAGCAGTGGAACTCTCTGCCCCGCAGTGTGGTGGAGGCTCCTCCTTTGGAAGCTTTTAAGCAGAGGCTGGATGGCCATCTGTCAGGGGTGATTTGAATGCAATATTCCTGCTTCTTGGCAGGGGGTTGGACTGGATGGCCCATGAGGTCTCTTCCAACTCTTTGATTCTATGATTCTTTGTTCACGACTCTTCCTCTGCACAATTCAAGGTGCAGGTGCTCACCTACAAAGCCCTTAACGGTTTGGGACCTGCTTACCTGCATGACCGCATCTCCGTCTATGAACCCGCACGCTCTCTTTGTTCATCTGGAGAGGCCCTGCTCACGATCCCACGTCCCAAGCGCGTTTGGTGGGGACGAGGGACATGGCCTTCTCTGTGGTAGCCCCCCGACTCTGGAACTCCCTCCCCAAGGACATCAGACAAGCCCCTACGTTGGCAGTCTTTAGGAAGAGCTTGAAGACCTGGCTATTCCGGTGTGCCTTTCCAGAATAGGTAAATCCCGGCAACATGTCCCAACAGCACTTTATTAGAGATTAAGATTGTCCGCACATTGCACCTATCCAAAAATCCTTACATATCACTCAGCACACTCGGCACTTTTTAATCTGTACCCATTACATTTGCCCGGCCTAGTTTTTATTGTATCACGGCGCGTTGTTTTATTGTTTACTGTCATTGCTTTAATGTTTTTATTTGCTTTGGTTTATATGTAATTGTTATATTGTTGTTTTATTGTGGCCTTGGCCTTTGTAAGCCACATCGAGTCCTTCGGGAGATTTATTTATTTATTTATCGTGTCATCAGCAACCATTGTATTACAATTCTAACAGAGCAAAACAAATACACCGATTAAAAAGAAAAAGGGGGAAAAAAACACAGATTTTGCAAATTTGGTATTTGGTTAAATGTCCTTTGACCAGTCTCTGGCCCCTTGGAGTGCCTCTG